GGGTAGGAAGGCTGAGGATGGCGAGCCTAAAGAGGAGGAATCTGACAAAGAAGAGCCCACACCACCTTCTCATGAGGAACTGTACAAGTCTAATTTGAAGAAAGCAAAGGCAGCCATCACCAGCTTGACTGCTGAGATCAGTGCGATGGAGATGCTCAAAGCCCAGTTGGAAGCAATTGTCGACAATGAGCACAAGAAGCTCAAGGCCGCTTACTTGGAGCAGGTGCGCAAGCTTCAGACCAAGCTGGAGGAGAGCAAGAAGAAACATGTACATGCCTTTTTAGGCTTTCCTGTAAAAGGAAGTGACCTGCCACCAGACAATTTGGAAGGAAAAGTCAATGCGTTGGCACAGCTTCAGCAAACCATTGCTGCTGCCCATAAAGAGGTCAAGAAGCAATTGGCTCCCATCAAGAAGTGGGCACACAACCCTTCCAGCTGATCTTGCCTTTCCAAGAGGCTTGCCTGTACAAGGCAAAAGGTTCACACCTTCTTCGATGGCAATGGCCATGGACACGAGCCTGCATGGTCAAAAGGGGCTGCAGAGAAGGGTGAAAGTGATTTGGCAGAGTTCTTGGGTCTGAGGCATGTTGGGGTTTGCTGTTGCTCAGTCAATGCTTCATTCTGCAGCTCTTTTGGTTCAAGCCAACATGAGGCCTGTGACTGTGTTCTTTTGGTTTGTGTTGCACCTTGCTTGCCTGCAGAAGGCATTGTCTGGCCCCAGCTCAAGCTCCAAAAGAAAAAGGAAAGATTCCTCTGAGGATTGGGGCGACTTTAGTGTCAACCTGCAACAAGAAATGAGTTGCCTGCTTCTGTTGCCAAAGTCAACGTTGAAAAGGGATTCAAAGCAGGTGCAAAAACAACATTCAAATTGAAAGGCAAGAGGGGAAAGGATTCCAATGCTGCCAGAACCATGAGGAGGCTCAGGAAAAAGGTTTCCAAAGGCCACGACTGGCCCCCAGTTTATTTTGGGCCAAGATACCAATGAAAAACCCAAAGGACAACAAAACATTTTATGCATGGCACCCATTCCTTTTGCCACATGAATGGCTTGCCAGGCTCTGGCAAATCCCTGGTGCTTTGGATGCTTGCAGGCCTAAGCAAGGGTCAAAGGTTTTGGATGCCTTGCAAAATGTGTGCGCCTTTTTGAACTTGCCTGTTACAGGCATCATTCCTTTTGGTGTGCATGGGGATGCTGTGCCTGTTCTTGGCACATTCATGGACTGACCGGGTGCCATTCACAACCATTCAAACAAAATATGTTCAGCAAGAAACTAAAGATGAAATCTGGAGAATCTTGATGTGGTCTGCATCTTGCCTGAAGAATGGCAAATTCCCAGAATGTCGACATGATGGTTCTGCTTGGATTGCATCAGACAAAGAAAGGGCAAAGCTGCAAGGGGACTTGCCTGCAAAAGGCATTTTGGCAGAAGTTAGGGGAGATTGGGATTGGTTGAACCAATGGCTGCAAATGCCCACATGGAACACTAAAAGTGGGATGTGCTGGCTACGCGGTGCAAATTTTCATTCATTCAGGTCACAAAGCCCTGAGGAGAGAAAAACCCAAAAGAGTAGGGCAACATTCCTCCACCTTTTGAGGGGGGCGGGCAAAAAGCTGTCTCCCTTTTGGGAGTGGCCAGAGAATTGGCCTTCGAACATTGTGTGTGTCGATTGGCTTCATGCCTGTGACCAGGGCATTGGCTCTGACATTGCAGGGCAAGTGCTATGTGAAGTAGCCCAGGCCTTGCCAGGCAACAGCTTCAGAGAGAGGGTGTCTTGTCTGTGGGGTGAAATTCTGCAACATTACAAGACTTTGAATGTGGAATACAGGTTTGCCACCATCACCCCAGAGATTTTGAACAAAGGGAAAAAGCCAGTTGGCCCTCCAACCCTGAAGGGGCCAGCAGCTCAAGTGAGACACTTGGTTCCTTTGCTTCCAATTTTAGCAAACAAGCACTTGGATGGCAGAAAGCCTCATCAGCTTGCTGTCCAAAAGCTTGCCAGGTTTCTGGCAAAAGCATATGCAGCCATGGAGTGTCATGACACCACTGTCTTGCCAAGGGCTGGCCAGAAAGTGGCCCAACAATACATCGAATTGGAAAAAGAAGCTCTCCAAATTGACCCAGCTGACACAAAATCTTGGCATATCATGCCTAAGCTGCACCTTTTCTTGCACTTGTGTGAAATGGGGCTCCCAGTGAAAGATTTTTGGTGCTACAAAGATGAAACCATGGGAGGAATTTTAGCAAAGCTGTGGACTAGGAGGGGTGGCAAAGACAATCCTGGGCACAGTTCTTTTGAGGTGCTTGACAGGTGGATGTGCACAACTCCCTTTCCAGCCTTTCCAAGTGAATTGTAGCTTGCCTGCAAAAGCCACCCACCCAAGTATGCTTTTCGCAAAGCTTGCCTGCAGAAGGCACCAACCATTGGCACAATCAATGGCCACCCAAGCATGCTTTTCACGCAGCTTGCCTGCAGAAGGCAACAACCATTGGCGCAACCTTTGCCCAGCAAACCATGCTTTTCACAAACCTCTCGCACAATGTTTACTGCAAAACATCAGAAGCTCAATTTTGGCAGCTCAAAAATTGAGCTTCCAAGAAGCTCCGTTTTTGAGCTTCCAAAATGAGCTTCTCATGGTTTATAACAAAAACCATTGGAAGCTCAATTTTTGATTCAGCAGCTTGAAAACTGAGCTGCTCTCACAGGTGGCAGCAGCTCAGTTTTCGAGCTGCTTTCCTAAAAAACAAGCTGCCAGCTCAATTTTGGGCTGTGAAGCAGCTCAGTTTTCAAGCTTCTGATTTGAAATCTGGCTGCCAGCTCAGAAACCAAGCTTCTTGGAAGATCAGGGTGAGCGTCCAGGGTTCTGTCTCCCCCGAACTGAAGTGTCTTGGATGCCGGGCGGAAGTGGTAGTGTGGTAGTGCTCGATGTAGTGCATGAGGGTCTCGTGTTCGAGAACCATGCAACTTGCTCCACCGTCCAAGGTGCCATGTAGTCCAGTTGGTTTGGCTGTGAGGTCCTTCATCTCGATGGAAACCATCATTGCCGTTTCACCTTTGGTCTTCTTCGAAGAGCTGGTGGTCGTCGTAGTCGTACTGCGTTTTGCCCTCTGTGGACACTGGGCGGCATAGTGACCGGGTTGGCCACATCGGAGGCATGTTCCGGCCTTGGCCATCGAAGCGGTGGCGGCTTTGCCACGGCTTTTGGCATCACCTTTCCGTGGTGGAGGCTTGCTCGGCTTTTGGCATCACCTTTCCGTGGTGGAGGCTTGCTCTTACTCTTTGACCCTTTTCCTTTGGACTTGGGCGGAACGGGTCGCTGGAAGCTGGTGCCGTGGGCTGCATTGGTGTCTGTCAAGGCGACGACAGGGTAGAAGCCACGATTTGTCTTGAGCTTGGCGAAACGTCGCCTGGCGTCCAGGTACGTGGCATAGCACTCTTCCCACTCGGGGTCGTCCATGTCTGGTAGGTCATCTTCTTGAGCTGCATAGAGGCTTTGTTCTTCCATGGGGTCATCCTCATAGTAGGCACCCTCATACTCGTCATCCTCATAGGGCTCGTAGTCGTCATCGACTGCCTCATAGAGCTCCTCAGTCAGGTCGTCATAGTTTTCCTGGAGGTCATAGGCAGTGTATGCTGTCTGAGGTTTCTTCCAGCGGCTGTTCCCTTTTCCACGGCCAGTGGGCCTTTGAAGATGGCTGTAGCCAACTCTGCCACGGTAGTCCTGGCCGAACAGGTTCTTTTGGCATGCGGATGTTGTGCTTCTCCACTTCTCTCAAGCACTCACGGTGCTCCGTGCAGTAGGACATCAACGTTTGTTCTCCTCGTCGGCTGAGGGAGTAGAAGAACTTCTCGAAGGCTCGTGGTTGTTCCACTCGTTCATCGTACTTGAACGTACGGTCCAGGGCCTCGATGAGTCGGTCGAAGCCTTTGTCCTTGTCATCGCTGATGGATTCAGCGATCGGTTCGATCTGCTTCCAAGCGATGCCGGTGAGGTTGGTGACGATGTTGATCACACCTTCCAAGGGCTTTTTCTGAATCACCATCTTCTTCTGGTACAGGTGGATCCTTGCCCGCCATTCACAGTAGTCGGCAGGCCTGTTGGAGAACTGAGGGACCCATCTGTCGCGCTCGTCGAGGATGTAGCCATCGATCTTGTAATCGAAGGAGGCGATCTCGAAGTGTCGGCGCAGGTAGCGTTTGGAGCTCGAGCCCGTAGGCTCCGCTACCAATTTGAAGGTAGCAACCAACTTGAAGCACCGCACAAAGTGTGCTCCAACTCAAAACAGGGATCGAGGTGATCGGCCGCGTCTTTTCTCGCGGCTTGCGCAGCCAAGGCTCATGGCGTCAGTGACGTCGACCCTCCCAGCTTGAAAGGGCGGTTTGTGCCAGAGTGGCACCAGAAAAGGCGAGCGTGACTTTCATGCTGCTGAAGAACCTGGGTGGACATCAATATGCGGATGCGTATTCACAAAATGCCTTTCTTTTGTTTCTTTCGCGCCCTCAGTTTAAAGGCAACTGCTCTCTAAACCACACCAAAAAGGCAGGTTATTCCTGCAGTGCATCAGCAATTCGGTCTGCGGACTATCTCATGCAATGACCATTT